GTGGGGGAGAGAGGGGTGGGGAGGGAGGGAGTGTGAGAGATATGGGGGGGAGGGAGTGGGAGAGAGAGGGGGCAGGAAGGGAGTGGGAGAGATATAGGGAGGGAGGGAGTGGGAGAAAGAGAGAGAGAGAGAGGGAGGGAGTGTGAGAGAAGGAGGGAGGGAGGGAGTGTGAGAGAGAGAGGGAGGGAGGGAGTGTGAGAGAGAGAGGGAGGGAGGGTGGAAGTGGGGGAGAGAGAGGGAGGGAGGGCATGGGAGACAGGGGTTGAAAGAGAGGGTGGGTGTGGGAGATAAAGAGGGAGGGAAGTGGGAGAGAGAGAGAGGGACGGGGTGACAGAAAGAGGGAGTGAGAGTGCGAGAAGGTGGGCACAAAGGGAGAGAGAGGGGTTGGGTAAAGAGAGGGAGGGGAAAGAGAGAGGGAGAGGAGAGTCAGAGAGGGAGGGAGTGAGACAGAAGATGGGGAGAGAGATAGGGGAGAGGGACAGAAAGAGGTGGACAGAGAAAAGGCGGGGAGAGAGAGAGGGAAAAAGAGTGGGGGCAGCGCAAGGGGATAGAGTGAGTGAGGGTGAGAGAGTGGGTGGTCAGATAGAGGTGGGAGAGAGCGGGGGAGAGAGAGAGAGGTGGGAGGGAAAGGAGGCAGAGAGAGACAGAGAAAGGAGGGAGAGAGATGTGGGAGAGGGTTTGAGGGAGAAAGAGAAATGGAAAGGGGGAGTAAAGAGAGGGGGAAATGGGGAAGAAGAGAGAAAGAGGGAGTTAAAGAGAGAGAAAAAATATAATAAAAACAATGGACATTCTGCCCTTTCCAACATTTCCACCCACCCCCTCTTTCCCGACACCCCCAAGGCCCAGACAGAAAGGAGCAAACTTATTGGATAATGTTCCTGTCAAATGGTAACTAGGGTTCATTTTAACCAATTGTCACATGTGTGAGTGTGTGTGAGAGAGACAGAGTGTGTGTGTGAGAGAGAATGTGTGTCTGTGTGTGTGTGTGTCTGTGTGTCTGTGTGTGTGTGTGTGTGTGTGTGTGTATTTTTTTTCTATTCATTTTGTGGGATGTGGGCATTGCTGGCTGGCCAGCCAGCATTTCTTGCCCATCCCTAGTTGCCCTTGAGAAGGTGGTGGTGAGCTGCCTTCTTGAACCGCTGCAGTCCTCCTGCTGTGAGCTGACCCACAATGCTATCAGGGAGGGAATTCCAGGATTTTGACCCAGCAACAGTGAAGGAACAGCAATATATTTCCAAGTCAGGATGGTGAGTGACTCGGATGGGAACTTGGAGGTGGTGGTGTTCCCATGTATCTGCTACTCTTGTCCTTCCAGATGGAAGTGGTTGTGGGTTTGGAAGGTGCTGACTGAGGATCTTTGGTGAGTTTCTGCAGTGCATCTTGTAGATAGTACACGCTGCTGCTACTAAGCATCGGTGGCGGAGGGAGTAGATGCTTTTGGATGTGGTGCCAATCAAGCGGGCTGCTTTGTCCTGGATGGTGTCAAGCTTCTTGAGTGTTGTTGGGGCTGCCCCCATCCAGGCAAGTGGGGAGTATTCCATCACACTCCTGACTTGTGCCTTGTAGATGGCGGACAGGCTTTGGGGAGACAGGAAGTGAGTTACTCGCCACA